ACAGCTCCCCGAGGGCGGCAGGTGCATGTCGTTCCTTCCTCCTCTGACCTGCACAGGGAAGGGGGCACCCGGGCAGGGGTGAGAGCTGCGGAGAAGGCGTGCTGTCTGTCCCCGCGCCCTCGGCAAGCTCCGTCTTCGGAGGCGTGCCCTGGAACGTGTGCCTGATATTTGCTCCACTTGCCTCAGAACGACTGGAAGGCCCAGGACCGGCCAAGCATGATGCTGGCCGGCGCAGGCTCCAGCGACTGGGCCTGTTCCCAGCTGCCCCAGGAATAGCACGGGTCTGGGCTGCTCCGTGCAGGAGACAGTGCAGAGCTCTGGCCTGGGTCCGGGGCCCGTAGCTATGCCTGCGGCCTCACGTTCTCCAGACCTGCTGCTCCCCAGCCAGGGCCTGCTGGGACCGATGGTGTCTGAGAGACCCAGCTCCATCCACGGACCAAAGCAGGGGTCTCATAGTCCTGTCTCGGGACCTTCATAAACACAGCCGGATGATGAGGTCCAATTGGGACCTCAGGCCAGTACTGACCGTGGCCAACACTCGGTGCACGCATCACCTGCGGTGCCAGTGGCCTGCTCTGAGTTTCCATTTCCTGTCTGGGAGCAGGCAGTGCGGCCCACACAATGTGCATGTGCCTAGCACCCCCAGAAATGGCCCTCTGTTCCCCAACACCTCCCTCCTTTCCCACAGGTACTGGAAACACCTTTCTGATGTCCAAAGAGAGAGCGCTCAGACTCCCTTGGAACAGTGCATCTGGGGACGCACGCGCAGCGGCCGACAGCTGCACCTGCTTCTGCATGCAGCCACGCTCCAGGCGCTGTGTGGTTCTGCCCGGGGAGAAGCTGCTGGCCACGCCCCGAGACCTCCTGCCCTGTTTTCCTCTCTGCAGTGTCCACTCTGCCACTACCACCGGTGCTGTGGGTCCTCCTCAGAAACCAAGTTACCGGGGAGTTGAACACTCCCACGGCTAGCCCGAGTCGGCACACTTTTGGCTCTTTCTGCCCCTGGAGTTGGGAGGCAGCTGCTAGCTGGTGAAGCCTAAGCCTACCGCTAACCCACCTCACAGGTTTCCAAGATCCAACCGCACAAGTCGCATTCTTGTTGGAAGACATTTAATTTTGCCAGTCTTAAAGAGTTCACTGACAGGCGACAAGGCTTCAAAAATTACTGCAACATCCTACATACCAAGCCAGGTTCTCTCTGGGTTTCAGACATAATGAGGCAGACGGACAGGCCAGTGACGACGAGAGCAGAGTTTTTGCTCGTTGTCTCGGGTTGTAGGTGTGTTTCACCTGGTTTAGTCCATGCCTGACAGCCACCTGCCCATGTCTCCCACGTGGACTCATGAGCAAACAGGGGCCTGGGCACAGATCTTGCTCTTTAAGATTTACTTTATTTATTTGAAAGATAGAGTTACAGAGTGGTAGAGAGTGGTAGAGAGAGAGAGAGAGAGAATTTTCCATCCACTGGTTCAGTCCCCAGATGGCTGCAACAGTCAGAGCTGAGCCGATCCAAAGTCAGGAGCTGGGAGCTTCCTCCACATCTCCCACGTGGGTGCAGGGGCCCAAGGACTTGCGCCAAACTCTGCTGCCTTCCCAGGTGCATCAGCAGGGAGCTGGATCGGAAGTGGAGTGGCCGGGACTCAAACGGGCGCCCCCGGGGCTTTAACCCACTGTGCCACGGCGCCGGCCCCACAGATGTCGCTGTTAATGCATTCGAGTTCACACTGCAGACACACTCGGCTTACAGAAGCCCCACTCCCTGTGTGTAACCTACCGGGCAGGGGTGCTTTGAAGACTGGACGTGGGGAAGCAGCCAAGGGGCAGGGAGAGGGCAGAGAGAGATCCACGGCTCACAGATCTTGGCCCTGCCTGGCTCTCACGACCTGGCTCCCAGGAGAGCTGCACCCAGGTTCCTCCAGGGTAGGAGCCCCCGCCCTCCTGAGACCCAGGCTGTGACTCTGCCCAGGGAATGCTGGTGCCGGTTCCGTTTGGTGCTGTTTTGAGTACCTCCGAGCACGTGACTCAGGGGAACACTTGCTCCCTTTGGCTGCGGGCACAGCTTGTCCAATTCAGTCCCCTGAGCCCTGGAAGGCCTCAGGTTGCGAATCCAGGAACCAAGTTCCCGCACAGGGCCGTTCCACAAACAGGGAGGCTGCGGCAGCATCATTCAGCTCAGCGGCTGGAAATCAGAAAGGCCTTTTGACGGTTTAGTTCACGTCATTAAATGACTTCTCCGATCCACTATTAAAGGCCGTATGAGATGAGATTGCGTGCGTTCAGATATTAATCTTAGAGGAAACCCCAAGTAAGTGAAGAATGGTCGTGCTGCTTAATCGGAAATTCACATATCTCATTCAGCACCGAATGGAATCTCACTGTGAATGAGCAGGTCCCGGACGATGGGAGGATGGGAGGATGGGGGGCGGGGCGGGGGAGGGGTCTGGTGTGCCGCCATCATTCACTCCAGGACCGCCTTCGCAGCTTCCACCACCGACCCAGGGACCCCAGATCTGCACTGCTCTTCAGCATCTGTAGACTTCGGACGGGAGCCCGAGAGCGCCGTGCGTGCGTTACTACCTGGCGGCCAGGGCAGAGGAGCCTGTACCTCTGCCGCCTGGAATCCTGAGTCTTTGGCAAGGCAGGCAGGCCGGCACGACGCTGCGGGGGACTCGCGGGCCCTCGAGAGGGAGACGCCAAACGCGAGCCCCTCCCTGGTCCCCCCAGCCCCTGAGTCTGTACACAACCACATTTGACAACACACGTTGTCGGTCAACACATCTGCTGTGACAAACCCACATCTAAACAAAAGGAAAGCGTCTTCCATAGTGGCACCGGGAAGAGAAATGACACACGTCCTGCAGACGTCAGACAGGACCCCGACAGCACTGGGGTGCACGGCTGCCCTCTGCAACGCGCAGGCACTGACGCTGACGGGACTGTCCCTCGGACCCCACTCCTGTCCCTCGGACCCCACTCCTGTCCCTCGGACTCCCACTCCTGTCCCTCGGACCCCACTCCTGTCCCTCGGACTCCACTCAATGTCCCTCGGACCCCACTCAATGTCCCTTGGACTCCACTCAATGTCCCTCGGACCCCACTCAATGTCCCTTGGACTCCACTCAATGTCCCTCAGACTCCACTCCTGTCCCTAGGACCCCACTCCTGTCCCTCGGACTCCACTCAATGTCCCTCGGACCCCACTCAATGTCCCTTGGACTCCACTCAATGTCCCTAGGACCCCACTCCTGTTCCTCGGACCCCACTCAATGTCCCTCGGACCCCACTCAATGTCCCTTGGACTCCACTCAATGTCCCTAGGACCCCACTCCTGTTCCTCGGACCCCACTCAATGTCCCTCGGACCCCACTCAATGTCCCTTGGACTCCACTCAATGTCCCTCAGACTCCACTCCTGTCCCTAGGACCCCACTCAATGTCCCTCGGACCCCACTCAATGTCCCTTGGACTCCACTCAATGTCCCTCGGACCCCACTCCTGTTCCTCGGACCCCACTCAATGTCCCTCGGACCCCACTCAATGTCCCTTGGACTCCACTCAATGTCCCTCAGACTCCACTCCTGTCCCTAGGACCCCACTCCTGTCCCTCAGACTCCACTCAATGTCCCTCAGACCCCACTCCTGTCCCCACCCTCCATTCTGCTCCTGGAGCAGACACCAAACGCGCCAGGCTCCGTGGTACCTTAACAGACAACAATTTCCCCTTGAGGAGCGAAGAGGAAATTATGATTAAAAAATGGCTCTTTAGCAGGCTGTTGGGAAGGTGAGGTTTTTGTTTCGCGGGTTCATTCTTTTTCTGGCGGGGAGCAAGGCTCTCAGCGGTGAGACGGGAGCAATTGCGGGAGGGAAGGAGAGAGGACGGTGATATAAATCAGCAAAGGTTAATGACCGGGATGGGGAGAGAGGGGCTTATTTACAGAAATGGCGTGCAATTTGAAATTTACCACAGATTTAATGCCACTGCTTGGCAATCGCTAAAATCAACAGCCCAGAAAACAGTGACATTAAGAAAAATATTACAGTTATAATCATCCCCAAATAAGTCAATTAGTGTTAGGGCACAAGCTTGCCATTACTTGACCCATTTGCCTTGCATTTAAGTGAAAAAAATCTCCCCCTATTATCCCGAGATCGCTGGATTGTGACCTGTTTTGCATCGCATGTATTACACGCCGGCCTCCCTTCCGCGGGCTGGGGCCGAGGAGGGGTGGTTTTCCCTCGCCTGGCATCAAAATAATTCTGACCCCTGACATTTGTAATCATAAAAAAAAAGGCAATTTATAATTGTGTTGTTCAAATGAAGGTGGGGGGGGGATCCAATCTGCTATTATACAAAAGCAATGACGGCTGTCTTCTGTGAAAACAGCAAGGCGAGTCAATTTGTGAACTTTGGCACCACACGACCTTTAGAAACACAACAATACACTGAATCTACAAGCTACAGCAGCCCATGCAAATGGCCCGGGCCGGCGGCCTCGCGGTGGAGCCGCGGCGAGCATTATGGAGAGTGCTTCCACAAAACAAATTAAGACTGTTACTTAAATGTCACGGCACACCATTGTATTTGGCTACAGATCATTACCCCTCATACCAACACTTTTAAAAACTGTAATAACTTGGGAAATATTACATTGGGTGCCCACATGTATAAACGAAAAGGAGAAAAAAAAAAGAGGAGAAAATAGGTTTCCGAAGTAATTTAAACATCACAACTCTGCGACTGGAGGGAAAGGTCAAAATTTAAGTGAGCTGAGAGGGACATGAATGGGAAAATAAAACACACACACAGAGCGAGATGGAGGCACGGCGGGACTGAGTGTGCACACACGAGCCGGGCACATGCACCGCGGGGCCGTGGCGCTTCCGCGTCGGCACGGGGAGGGGGGGCGGAGGAGGCGTTACCTTCGGTGTTGGCGCTGCTGCTGTATATATTTCGCAGGCTACCAACACGGTTTAGTTTCCATGCTCTGCGTTTGGCTGCATCCCGAGAGCAGAGAGGGGAGAGGGGGAGAAAGAGAGAGAACAAAAAGGAAAAGAAAAAACCAATGAAAAGGGGAGAAAAGAGATGTCAAAGCAGCAGGTGACTCAGCAGCAGGTGACGTCAGTTCCCGGGGAAGCCAGGGGCACCGCGGGCCAGGGACCTCCACTCCCCTGGCCTTTAGCACGAGAACTCAGCAAGGGCGGGCGGGCAGGCGGGCGTCAGCGCCACTGGGTTTGTGCGAAAACAAAGACGTGCCCAGGCAAAGCGGTCCATGCGCCACCTCTGCAAGCCCCTGGCCACTCCAAATGGCAACCAACTGGCCCTTCTCCTCGGCGGCTGACGGCACCTTTGCAAGGAGCTGGACCCCAGCAGCCGCAAGGCCTCTGACTGGCAGAGCTCTGGGAGTAGGCCGAATCCCACGAGACCCCGGGGGGTTACCAGAGGGCAGGTGCTTGAGGCCCTGAGCTTTCACAGAACGGGGCGGTTTTATCCAGGCAGATTTTGGTCTGGACAGTCCCTCACGGCAGCAGGCCCTGGTATCGTTGAGGGACGGTGCAGGCTCCGAGTGGGGATTAAGCCCTCAGCCAAAAAGCACAGACAGCCGGCCATCCACAGAGTGGGGCTGGGGTCAGGGTGATCGCAGAACCAACCGGACATGGGCACAGGCGACCCCTGTGTGTCGTGACCAAGTGGGTAAACGGGACCCCCGGCCTCCAGACTGCCTCACGGACACCTCCTCACCCTCCCGGCAGTCAGCTCAGGGCTGCCCACGACCCCGCATGGAGGAGGCTGACCTCCTGGCCTCCCAGGGGACATCGTGTAACAACGGGAGAGTTAGACCCGGTGGCTCCTGCGGAGCAGTCTTCACGCAGACACAGCTGGACAGAGCCTCCGACGCAGGGGCCGGACGGTGGGCCTGCCACGCAGGCACACACACACGCCCGGCCCGGCAATGTCACCGTCACATGTGCTGCCACCACACAGCAGGTGAGAGAGCGTCAGAGCACCCACGGCTCCGCTTGGGTCACCGTGTGTTCAGCACAGGTGAGGCCTCACCTGGGCCAGGCCGCCCTGGCGGCCGAGCAGCAACCCCGATGCTGACCCCAAGGTGCGAATGACGCAGGACCGTAGGACGGGTCAGCTGCTCGGGCCTGCCTGCGGCGTGACAGCGGAAGACTCAGCCCCGGGCAGCGCCTTCTGCACGTGGGTTGTAGGCTGTGTGGGTACCAGGCCTCGGTGGCCAGTGACCCCGCGTCACCACGCGGCCCCTGTGCGGGGTGTCGCTACTGAGCAAATCTGTTCTGGGCTCGTAGTGCTCCGATGGAATCCTGGACTTTTAAGGAGGTGAATGTGGTTCTGAAGCACAGCCTCCCCAGGGAGTCTTCGAAACGCCGGAGGGTGCCCAGCGTGGAGAAATTACGGGTGGGTTCCAACCTTTTTTTGTGTCGCGATAAAGTCCGCTGTGAACTTTCCGATATGGATGCAAATTTTGCATTCGCCATGAAGGGCGGAGGGAGAGACCAGCTGCGGTTTAGTTGTCTCTTGATTTCAACAGAGGAAGACTCCTAACTGAACACCTGTGAACTACTCCGTGGTCTGACTCCTAACTGAACACCTGTGAACTACTCCGTGGTCTGAAAATCAACAATTTAGTAAGAAACGTCACCTGCAGGCCTGGCAGCCGAGCCCTTCTATAGTCCATGGGTCTCTCTGGGGTTTCCCATGAGGGCTGGCCTGAGCACCTGTCCCAGGTAAGGCCACACCTGGAAGGAGGATCAGCATGGCTTTAGAGATGCTGATCATGGGGCCGGCACTGTGGCATATCGGGTTGAGAAACTGACTGCGGTGCCGGCATCCCATATGGGCACTGGTCCGAGTCCCAGCTGCCCCACTTCCAAACCAGCTCCCTGCTAAGGGGCCTGGGAAGGCAGTAGAGGATGGCCCAAGTGCCTGGGCCTCTGCACCCATGTGGGAGACCCAGATGAAGCTCCTGGCTTTGGATCGGCCCAGCTCAGGCCACTGCAGACATTTGGGGAGTGAACCAGTAGACGGAAGACCTCTCTCTCTCTCTCGCTCTGCCTTTCTTTCTCTGTGTGACTGCCTTTCAAAGAAAGAAAGAGAAATGCTGAAGGTGTTGCTGCACCGCTGGATGCCCGCAGTCTGTATGAGCGCAGGTTCAAGTCCCCACTACTTCACTTCTGACCACGCGGAAGATGGTCCCAGCACTTGGGCCCCTGCCGCTCCCGTGAGAGACCCCACAGGAGCTCCCGGCTCCTGGCTCTTGGTTTTGGCCTGGCGCAGTCCTGGCTGTTGCGGCCATCCGTGGAATGAACCAGTGGATGGAAGATCTCCGTCTCTCTGTTTTTCCCTCTCTCTGCAACTCTGACTTTCAAATAAATAAACACATCTTTAAAAAAAAAAACCCAAAGAGACGCAGAACGACCATCGGCAGGTTCCGCTGACTGGACCATGCCGAGTCGGGAGAACGCACTTCCTTTGTCCGCAGAGGAGACCCAGCGTCTGCGGCCCTGTCCACCTCTTTCAGGACGAAGGAGCCAGGAAGGGGCTGCACCGCCTGGAGCTGCACTCACCTCCTCCCAGAGCATTTACATCCAAATCCGCGCCCCTGGGAAGGAGGCAGGCTCAAGTGCAGGCAGCCTCTTTCCCCTGCACTGTGCACTCTCTGGGCCCCATTACCGTGGGGATGGATAAGCAGGAAGTGAACTTGCGGCCTGGTTTTCTATTAACCTATTGATGAAATAATCAATGTTAATGTGTGGAATGTCATGCCTCTCCCCACGTCTGAACAAATGGCTCTTTCCTGGCTGAAGCCAAGGTCCTGATACGTGCATTTGTCTCCTGGGGCATTGATTGCTCAAGTCCCCTTGTTTAGAAGCCTCTGGACGAGAAAATACAATCACGTTATCATCGATAACATCTCGGGCTGTGTTTGATGCAGCTGCCTGATCCCCTGCCAGGGGTACGGGGACAGTGTCAGATGGAACCGGAGCTCGCTGTGTGACACCTGCCAGAGCCTGCACGGGCGGCGCCCCCTGCCTGCAGGCCTCGGGAGATCGCTAGGGCCTCGCGCAGACAAGCTAACCAGACTACATTTTGTGGGCACCCTTTATTTCAGCTAAAAACACCGGACGAGTCTACTTTCAGGCAAAGATTTTCTTCCTTTTGACAACAAGGATGATAGTTTGATTTTTCTCGTGGACGCCGTTTTCCCCAGAACTATATTACTCTGACATGGGAATATCACCTGAGATCAGACCACAGGGCAGGGGGTACGAGCCCCCGTCAGCGACTTGAGCTCAGCTGTCCCGCTGCAGGCTTGCCCGCACTGCACAGGGCTGCGTGCGCGGCACGGCGTCTGCACCGCCTGCACGGCGCGCACGATCAGATGCTGAGCCCCACAAGGTGCCGACTGCCTATCAGCCTGGGAGCGGATGCCCACTGCTCTCTTCTCCCTTTGTTCTGCAAGTTAAGTAGGACCTTCCGAGCTCCGCTCTGGACTGGCAGACAAGTCAGCGAGCCTGGGGAAAGGAAGCTGTTAGCGGGACAGCGCTGTCCCCATAATGGCGCCAAGGCCTGAGTGGGGAGCTTGGATCGAACACAAGGCTGCCACGTGGGCCTGACAGCGAGAGGCGGTGCAGGGGAAGCACAGACAGAGAGGGGAAGCCCTGCACCACTCTGGCCGCTGTGCGGGATGCTAAGCACTACAGCTCTCAACGGCTCGGGTCAGATAGTGCGCGGAGACGCCCGCACTCCCCCGGCACAAGCCTGAACGCCGTGTAAGGGGACCGTGCCGGTGCAGACTTCCCTTGAAGTGAACAAGGAGCCTTCCTGCTTAGGTTCGTTCCAGTACAATCCCTGACTTACAAAGAGAGGCCCGCGTGGCGCCACCTGGTACCAACATGCTAACGTGGACAAGTGTGTGGATATCCCAGAACTCAATGTCTCCTACGTGGGTGGCAGGGACCCAAGTGCTTGCGCCGTCACTGCCCGCTGACTCCTGGGTGTTCATCAGGAGGAACCTGGAGTCAGGAGAAGAGCTGGGGTGCTAACCTAGGGACTTGGACCCAGGCACCCTGATGTGGGGTGTGGGTGTCCCAACCAAACAGTTAACTCCACTGCAACGCCAAAATCCTGCCCTGGCCTCATCTGCAGCAGCGGGTGGGCCACCTGCTGACGCGCCTCTGAGCTGCCGCACACCCCGAGCCACGCATCTGAAGGCTGGCCCCGGCTCTAACTCACAGATCATTGCTTTAGGGAGTCCGAGAATTATAAACCACGGGTCTGGTATCCAGATGACCGAATGAGGTGTGGCATAATACACTCGGCTCCTGTAACCACTCACAGTCGTGCACCTCGCAGAGAGAGACGGAAAGGGAACATGTATGGACTACAGCTTTCTGCTGGGTCAGAGTAGCTGGAATCACTCAGAGGTGAGGACGGCCAGCGACGGCACAGCCCCGCATCTGTGGGAGCCTCAGCTATGCGGTGGGTTCATGCCCTCAGAAGCACTTCTGCTGTTATTTGGTTCTTTTTATTTTTAGAAGATTTATTTATTTATTTGAAAGGCAGAATCACAGAGGGAGGGAGAAAAGGAGGGAGGGAGAGAGAGAGAGAGGGAAAAACAACTTCCGTCTGCTAGTTCTCTCCCCAGATGGCTGCAAGAGCTGGGGCTGGGCCAGGCTGAAGCCAGGAGCCAGGTGCTTCTGCCAGGTCTCCCACGCAGGTGCAGGGGCCCAAGGACTTGGGCCATCTTCCGCTGCCTTCTCAGGTGCATTAGCGGAGAGCTGGATTGGAAGTGGAGCAGCTGGGATTCGAACCGGCACCCAGATGGGATGCAGGCATCGCAGGCAGCGCCTTCGCTGGCTATGCCATGACACTAACCCCACTCATTCTTTTCTCACAGTAAATAATTTATTACTACATCCTTCATGTTTTGTTGTTCCTTCCCACAGAGCTGAGAAATAGTCCCACGGAGGGCATAAGCCACAGTCACTCTCCGAGGCCTCCCCACCTTCCAGCAGCAGCCACTGGAAAAGCCATGGTGCGACAGACGCCAACCTTTTTTTTTTCTTTTTCAAGATATTTTTATTTATTTGAAAGAGTTACAGTGAGAGGTTGAGCCAGAGAGAGAGAGAGAGAGAGAGAGAGAGATCGATCTTCCATTCTACTGGTTCACTCCCCCAAATGACTGTCACGGCCAAAGCTGAGCTGATCTGAAGCCAGGAGCCAGGAGCTTCTTCCGGGCCTCCCACACGGGTGCAGGGGCCCAAGGACTTGGGCCATCTTCTACTGCTTTCCCAGGCCACAGCAGAGAGCTGGATGAGAAGAGGAGCAGCCAGGACTTGAACTGGCATCCATATGGCTGGGGCTTTAACCCACTGTGGCACAGCGCCAGCCCCTCCAACCTTAACTTTTATTTCAAAGGAAGATTTCAGGGGACGGATGCTGTGCTGCAGTGGGCGTAAGCCCTCACTTGGGTTGTCTGCTCCCACACTGGAGTGACTGGTGGGAGTCTCGCCTCTGCTTCCGCAGGGTGCTGGCTTAAGTACTTGGGCCCTGCTTGCCCATTCTGGCCTGGCCCAGCTCCGACTGCCGTGGGTATCTGCCTTTCCAATAAAATAAAAGCAAATAAAAAAATGAAGGGATATTTCGGCTCATTTGGTTCTCTAGACAACTAAAAAAATTTAAATTTGACTACAGAGACTGCCGGGAAAGTGATCCCGGACAGCAGCGTCCAACCAGGGCATCCTTTGACGAGCTCTGTACAATCGAACAAAAATCTGCCCAGGTCTGCCACCACGCTCACGCGAGCAGGGTTCATCCCAACTCTTCCTCCATCACTGTACGGCGAAGCCACAGCCTTATTAATGCCACCTCTGCTCTCCTCCTGACAGCGTTCTTTGTTGATTAGATAAATATTCCTCAGATAGCTGATTAAAAAATGATGCCGCCGTGAGGTTACGTCCAAGCCTCGTCAGCCATGTTGGATGTTCAAGTGTGCATGAATTACATCCCGGGCGTGCAGGGAATGGGGCTGGCTAAATGAGGCACGCTGCAGCGCTCAGAATCAATTACGAGGACTAATAGGGTCCTTCCACCTGCACCGAGGAAGGGCTGGGTGCAGAGGTGTGCCACCGGCTTCTGGAGACACGGGAATGTAGACTCGCACCTCTGAGGACAACAGAGTGACGACCGTGGCAGGGAGCACAGCCCTGAGGGGGCCGATGCCACGCGTGCAGGGCGAGCACCTGTGGGACTGATGCCACGTGTGCAGGGGGAGCACCTGACTCCTGTGGGACTGATGCCACGCGTGCAGGGGGAGCACCTGTGGGACTGATGCCACATGTGCAGGGGAGCACCTGACTCCTGTGGGACTGATGCCACGTGTGCAGGGGGAGCACCTGACTCCTGTGGGACTGATGCCACACGTGCAGGGGGAGCACCTGACTCCTGTGGGACTGATGCCACGCGTGCAGGGGAGCACCTGACTCCTGTGGGACTGATGCCACACGTGCAGGGGAGCACCTGTGGGACTGATGCCACACGTGCAGGGGAGCACCTGACTCCTGTGGGACTGATACCACGTGTGCAGGGGGAGCACCTGACTCCTGTGGGACTGATGCCACACGTGCAGGGGAGCACCTGTGGGACTGATGCCACACGTGCAGGGGAGCACCTGACTCCTGTGGGACTGATACCACGTGTGCAGGGGGAGCACCTGACTCCTGTGGGACTGATGCCACACGTGCAGGGGAGCACCTGTGGGACTGATGCCACACGTGCAGGGGAGCACCTGACTCCTGTGGGACTGATGCCACACGTGCAGGGGGAGCACCTGACTCCTGTGGGACTGATGCCACGTGTGCAGGGGGAGCACCTGACTCCTGTGGGACTGATGCCACGTGTGCAGGGGGAGCACCTGTGGGACTGATGCCACACGTGCAGGGGGAGCACCTGACTCCTGTGGGACTGATGCCACGTGTGCAGGGGGAACACCTGACTCCTGTGGGACTGATGCCACGTGTGCAGGGGGAGCACCTGTGGGACTGATGCCACACGTGCAGGGGGAGCACCTGTGGGACTGATGCCACACGTGCAGGGGGAGCACCTGTGGGACTGATGCCACGTGTGCAGGGGGGCACCTGACTCCTGTGGGACTGATACCACGTGTGCAGGGGGAGCACCGGACTCCTATGGGTGCTTCAGGCTGATCCTGGCACCAGGACTCCATCCATAAAAATCACCTCCCCACCTCGGAAGCTCTGCGGGTGTGAACGGATTGTGCTGCAGTTCAATGTCACTTCCATGCCCAGAATCCCATGAGCTTTTGTCCGTGAGGGCAGAGACTGGGGATTTCTTTTGTGCTGGACACTTGATATTCATTTGCTCAACAAGACAGAGGAAATGTGGTTCTTCTATAAGGTCCCCCACCCTGGCCCCAAGAAACAGCCTGGAAGGTTCTGACTTGACATGAATTTTCTCCAGCAGCTGCGAAGGGGCTGAGGTGTGGCTGTGTCCTGGACACAGCTGGAGGAGGGGAGAGGTGGGCACGTCTGGGAAGGGGCCTTGGCAGTCAGCAGAAGCTGAGGCCAAGCAAATACGCGGACCCGAGTCAAGGCAGCCGCTGGGTTTGTCATCATCAGTTTCTGGAAGACTCCTCGTCTCTCCATTATTTGAAGTCAGAACACAGAAAACACTAAGTAAAACGCATGAGATGTGTAATCAGCCCTTCGTTAGAAATTTTTAACTTGATTCCCGGTAACTCCTAATGGCTTTCTTCACAGTGAGTGCAATTTCCGCACTGGCGGCTTGGTTACAGCTCTTAAGATCTGAACATGGCCCAGGCTTCTGTGAGAGTCAGGCCCACGCAGATGCACACAGGAAATGCCATTAAACCCGGAAAACGGCAGAGACAACCAAGCAAAGACTCTGGGATGTGCATGGACGCAGCCGTCCAGATTAGGGGAAGAGCTGGCGCTCCGTGGGGCCGAAGCAGGCTGGGCTGCAGATCCAGGGCTCGGAGTACCCGAGGTTAATGGGGTCACTTCTGTGCAACACCCTGAGTGTTCACTTTTCACAGGAGTGAAAATACGTCGTGAGAGGAAGTAGAGCACTTGCCAGCGTGTTTGCGCTGTGGGTTTCCGGTCTGGCAGGTTCTCAGAAGCAGTGAGTGGGGGATACGTGTCTCCACCTTCTCACGGGGAGGCTGCGCATGGCGCCCCGGGACACTCACCCTGGGCTGCCCGGGCCCCTGGCACTGCTCCTTCAGGGTGTGTGACAAGGGTCTGGCTGGGTCCTCGGCATCACCAAGAGCACCTGGCCCGCCGGGGTCCAGCACACTGTGCGTTCTGACCGTTTCGTATCACGAGACCCAACGCTTGTCATTCAAAACCGAAAACGCACACGCAGAGCAAACCAAATTCTCCACAAAGAGATGAGTGAGGTTCAGATCGGTCTTTCCAAGCAGGACGGACGGACGGACGAGGGTGTGAAGGGAACGCAGCTCTGGTGGTCACACAGCTGGCCGGGGCAGTGGGCAGGAGTGGCCGCCAATCCCGTACCCCTTCTCTTGCTCTTTCTGCCACCCACCCCATCTCTTGCCAACCTTGTCCAGCACTGGCTCCCGGCTCTGGGAGGTGGGCGTCGTTGGGCAGGGGCCGGCCCGCTGGGGCCACCTGCACCCTCCCGAGACAGGAGGGTGAGGTAATGGGAAGCAGTCTCTGTCCTTGTTCTCCTCGGCCTCCTCCACAGGCACACTGCAGCCCTTTCTCGAATTTCTCTTTTTTCCCCCAAATACAAACTATCTTCCAACAGTTCCAGAAAAAAAAATTGTTTCTTAATAAAACTCCAAATTGTGCTATCCTGTTTCAAAGGCGGCGACTGGCTGGAGCGACTCATCAAAGCCGTAATTATCTCATGACTGCTGCTGGGGCTCGCACGGGGCCGTAATTGAGGGGCTGTGATCACTGGACCACCAGCCTCAACAGTGGGCGGCGGCGGAGCCACCCGCTCGGGGTCACCCAGCTGGTCCCGCTCCCCTCAGAGGCGGCCAGGGGGACCCGAGAAGGCAGGCCTCTGTGCCTCTGCCACTCAGGGCCTCCCCCGGAGACTCCCAACGGGGTCCTCATCCGAGAGACTTAGTTAACCAGGAGATCGGGGTCCTTAACCGAGAGTTAACCAGGTGTAGAGATCCGAGGGGGGAGGCAGAAGGATTCCCAGCGCCTCACTCTGCTCGCCACTGGGGAACACATCCCTTTAAACACTAACAGATTTCTTGCTATAAAATTGCTGCGACTGTAACTTCGCAACTTCTCAGCCTGTCCTGGGTGACTGGCAACGATTAACAGAGGGAGGCCGCGGTTACCCCGGGAGCCCTGCAAAGCGCCGCAGCGCTGACGCCAAGTCACGTCTCGTTTGTTTCGTGTCCTCCTTCAGAATCAGACACAACACCGTGGTTCAGCTTTACGCAAGAACATGCTGGAACAATGCCTTCACGTGATGGCAGGAACAAAGTGCATCTCATACCGGTTTACGCCAAGAGGAATGCGTGATGGAGCAAACTATGTTGCAACCGTGTCCCAAACTGTCCCTTTCAAAGGCTGCACCGTGGAGGTGGAATATCAGAGCTAGCAAATCTGCTACAGTCGGATATCGTGTGGTAGACACAGATGGTTATGTATCAAAATATTTACAGATGTGTGTATACAGCAAGGCCAGGACACACACATACGTTTCTTTGTTGTCTGCTGGCACAGCCAAGGAGCGATGACAGCCAGTGGCAACGCGCACCCCCCTGCAGACCATTTGCCAAGCGAGAGGATCAGGGCTCCCTGGAAGAAACGGCTGAACCCAGGACTGGGGCAGGAAAGATGAACCCAGGACTGGGGCAGGAAAAATGCAAGGGAGCCCGGAGCATCAGGGAGAGAGGGAGGACGGGCAGGCTGAAGGAGGCTCCGAGGGGCACCCGAGACGGCTGAGCTGGGGCAACAGGGGCAGATCTCCAGAGTGCAGTGCCGGTCCAGCCCACTGACATCCACACGGACGCAGATGAGTGACAGGCTGAACCCACAACCAGGCGGAAGAGACAGGTCCCCTGGGCAGAACTCCAGGGCCAGTGTGGAAAGGCGTGGGCCGTGTGCGGTGACTTCATTCCAAAGAGCCCTGTGCGGAGTGTACAGGGCAGAGTCACTTCTCCGCGGGGAGTCCTGGTGTCGCCAGCCTGGGCAGCAGGCTCGACGTGATGGGAATGGCGCCCCTGCCCCAAACTCGGAGCTCAAGCCCGATCCTGAGAACAGCAGAAAGACTCCAAGAGAGGGAATCCAACAACACAGCTGACTAGAACCCTGACCAGCACCCTGCAAACCAGTACCCCGACCAGCATGCCTGCAAACCAGTACCCCGACCAGCACCCTTCAAACCAGTACCCCGACCAGCACCCTGCAAACCAGTACCCTCACCAGCACCCTGCAAACCAGCACCCCGACCAGCACCCTTCAAACCAGTACCCTGACCAGCACACCTGTAAACCAGTACCCCGACCAGCACCTTGCAGACTGCCAGCGCTCAGGAAATGCTCAGCCAGGCGGATCCTGGACCACAGCGAGGGCGGCAGCTGAAAGCTGAGGCCAGGGGAGGAAAGCAGGGGCCTTCACCACGAGGTGCGGATGGTGGTTCACGCTTTCTAAGGGGGTAGCACCGTAACAACAGACATCAACAACGGGGGAAACCGGGTGCTTGGTGTGTGTGTGTGGGGGGGGGAGTGTGTTATCTGTACATTCTTCTCGATCCTTCTAAAGCTTCCCCAGAAAATAAGATCTACTACAGTGAGCATCCTGGGAAAACACAGCACACCGCCCCCAACCCACTCATTTACGTGGCTGCCACAGAACGGGACGCCAGGAGTACTCCCGGCCTGGGATACACACAGAGGGAACGGCTATCCTGTCACAGTAACTGAAGGGCTGTGGACAGAGAGCAGGTCCCATGTGCTACCTGGGTCACAGCTTGAATGCCCGCCTCACCTGGCCCTGGGGACTGGCAGAAGCGCTCTTGACTTAGGCGCGTGCCGACAGGCGCTTGCTAATCAACCGTCTTTGGGACCCATCGTTGACCAGCGCTGGGCCTTCTGCACGCTGTGCTGTCTCCCGGATTTCACCTGCAAGTGCTTGTAATCATGTCTGGTCCTTGGGCCACCAGCTCCAGGTCTGAGCAGTGTTCCAGCTCTCTCTCGGCACCGGTTCTTAGTGACCGGGAATGAGCTTTAGTGATCGGGAATGAGCTTTGGCCCACTGGGGATGCAGATTTTGCTTCTGCTGAGTGGACAGGCCAGCCGCCAGTCAGCGCCACAGCATCATCTGTACAAGGACAGTGACAAGGTTTGACAACAAACGTGGCGCTGGCCTTGTGAACTTGCTGACACGGCACCTGTGCAGTTGAGCCTGGCCGGGAAGGTCTGAGCTTGGAAAGGCCCCTGGACTCCACGGGGCACAGTCAGGGGGCAAAATGAGCAGCTTCCCTTACTCACAGAGGACCCGCGGTAGACTTAGGCAGCAAGTGCACGCGGTCTGTGGTCATTAGACGTCCAGAAAACGCGGCCCAACACAGGAGTGCTCCACGCGGGCGTAAGAGACCAGGTACCTAGTGAGCAGCTTCCCGGAAGGCCGTCTGCTCTGCACACACCCCCGGGAGCTGCTAGCAGCAGCAACGCTAAGCTGCCAGGTTCCACACAAGCCCTGAGTCCGTGCTCTGACAGTGCTGACGCACGTATCTGCACCACATCTGCATTACTGGGGGCTTTCCGATTTAAAAACAAAAACAAAAACAACAACTTTGCTTTGCAGAGAATGCCAGACACACACATCACCAAGAAGCCAGGAGCAGGGCGGCAGCGGGCCCCACCCCCCGGGAGCTGGGTGTCATCGTGTTGGATTTCAGCCCGGCTAATGACGGAACCTGATCTGTGCAGTGGGTGGCTGCAAAGCCCTGCTCCCTGCGGGGCCAGGTGCCAGGTGAGAAAAAGAACAAGCAAGAAAAAACTGAAAACGCAAAGGCGAGTGCTGGGCGGGAGGAGCCGGTGCTCAGGATCCGATGCGGCTGCCCTGACAGGGCCGCCGGGTGGCTGGGGTGACTCAAGGCACCGTGTCACCCAGCCTCTGTCCCTGCTGCCTTGAGGACTCAACCAGCCAGCACACGGCCTGCACCCCGCCTTGACAGCGCAGGATCTGGGCTTTGCTAGAATAAAGCGAGCACCTGGGAAACCACAAGGCACCGCGGCTGCTACGTGAGTCATTTTCTGATTCAGGCTTTTGTCCGTCCTGGGCACCCCCAGGCTCCTTGCCTTCGGTGAGGAGAAGTAACACTTGGAGGTACAGCAGGTGCCTCGGGCCCTGCCCCCAGCCCAGCCACGCCAGCCCCTCCTCCGTGTGCACCTGCAGCTCTGGTTCCTGGGGAGCGTGGGCACTTCTCACAACGCACTTAGTTTGAGGAAATACTGAATTCCAGGCAAGAAAGGACACAAACAGAATTAAAGGATGGTGTGAGTCAGGTTTCTGTAACTCTTGGTCAAGTTCAACAGTTTCATGAACGTGAGCTTTTGGGGCTGCCTCTAGCATTGGCCATGGCCATGGCAGTGTTCAGGAGCCTTGTTTTCATGGAGGAGGTCGAGAGCAAGCACAGGGGCCAAGGCAAGGCCTGCTGACGAGGAGTACACAGACTTCTCACCTAGAAACTCCCTGACGACAGCCAGCGATGCCTGGGAGAGGGCGTGACACCACACATGAGTGTATTCTTTTCACGTCCCTGCCGAATGCGTCCAGTCCTTCTCTCCCACCCACACACATGTGCACATGCATGAGGACTAGGTAAGGGTGGCACAGGGTTGGGGGGAGAGGGGGAGGTCACGCAGATTTGCCTGCTGTTCATGACTTTGAACTCGGACGCAGCTCAGCAGCTGTAGCGGGTGCCCCAGGTCAGGGCCACCCACCTGCTGTTCTCAGGCTGGGCCTGGTGGTCTCAGAACCCAGCAACAGCCCACGGCACACACCTTGTCCACGTGTGATGTGTGAGCGAATGGCCACTGCTTGTGCGGCGGGAGCTGACTCTCCCTGGCAAGTGGCCAGAGAGAAACTTGGCATCTCCCCTCCGTGCAGGGGCCCTGGACTGGAGGTTTCTCATGGAGACCTCACTCCCAGTCCAGGGGCAGCCATGGAAGCATGACTGACATGTGTGACTGTGCCTCTGGACCAGGCAAAGCCTTGCTGCACAGATGTCATCCTCTCTGATGGGGGCTGAGGACACATAAGCCAGATTGTTCACTGCAGCATTGTGGGGCACCCCCACCCCAGAAGGAGGCCTTCCATCTGCCAGGACCCCACTTCCAAGTAAGACCCCGACCTGCAGCACCAGGGGTTCGGACTTCAGAGTACCTGGGGTGGTGGAGGAGCCACAGTTCGACCCAAATCACACACAGCTGCTGTCCTTCCTCACACGGACCCTCCTCCTCCTGCTCATCCCAAGGCTGACCTCAGAGGCCCTGACATGCTACAAGTCAAAGTGGACTCCAGCTTGAAGGGAAACCCCCGTAAGTCCCCCTCCCTCACTTGGCCCCAACTCCTGCAGGCCAGAAAGTTGCCATCAGAGCTGGAAGAGCCCCCTCCCCCAGACCTGCACAGCTGGGCTCCTGCTTGTCATTTAGGCTGCAACACAGACGTGACCTCTCTCGTGGCCCTCTGTGGACCCCCCTTCCCTGCCACCGCCTGGTTCGGGTTCCTGGGGCCCTCACTCTCTGCACCCATCTCTGGTTTTTGTGCTCACGCTAGATCTCCCCCGGGGGCGTAAGCGCCGAGAGCCTGTGTCGCTCCCCCTCTTCATGGGGGAACGACACTAAACCCTGCCTAGGCTTCATATCCGAGTCACGGCACCATTATGTCGCTCCCCCTCTTCGTGGAGGAACGACACAGGACCCTGCGCTGTTCTTTTATCTGCTCGGCCCTCCCCGGGTTTGCTGCTGGTTCTTCCCGGGTTGGCTACTATCCCTTCCACCTCCGTGGAAGGGCAGTTCCCCCTGGCCGCATTCCCCACTTCCGCAGGGGAGCGGCACACCGCCGGCCGGCTCTTTCGGGGGCTGCACGGGTTCCCTTAGATGTTCCCCATAGATGTTCCTGGTGCATGCCGTTTCTCTCCTCCTTTATAGTCCTCCTCCGCCAATCCCAACTCGGCTGCCCACACGCCGAGTACGCTGCTCTCCTCCAATCAGGAGCAAGTCCTACAGTTAATTGGTTGAACTGGAGGCAGCTGTGCGGAAGCTGTTTACTTCTCTCCCAGCACCATATTGTGGGAGAGCAGATGCATAGAATAAGTCTTAATTCCAGTAACAGTCTAGTCCGGTTTGCTCCCCACAAGCCTGGACTTCGCCTGTGCTGCTCAAGACAGAGCAGGCCTCCAGGGCTCCCCGAGGAAGCTCAGGGGGACTCACAGCAGGCCATCTGTGTGCAGAGCAGACGGCTTGGAACGGGGGAGGGAGGCACCAGGACTGTTTGCTCCTACAACTCTTTGTTGTTTGAGCTGTCACGAGTAGGCTGTATTGGTTTTGTAATTGGAAAGGTAAAAGTAAGAACAGAATATGCAGCTCTCCAACGATCCAGAGACAAAAACTGGCCTGGAGGGTTGTGCATCCTCCTGACAGGCCCCACAAATTTCACGACAATGAACAAACTTCCGGAGGATGTCGGCTGATGTGCTGATGTGTTATTTCTGACAGCAATCAGAAGCAGGTCCAGTCGTCTAAAAGACCACTCCGGGTGTACGAGGTTTACATTGGGTATGCACTACCCCAAAATGGTTTCAAAATCATTACATACAAATCTGAATAAATGAACAGCACTATCCTACTTGACACAGCTCAGATGTGACTGTAACACTCAGGGGATTACAGTGGTGTGGGGTTGCACTGCCCCCTGCCGCCACGCCCCACCCCCCACCTCAGAATCCCCTGCGGCACCACCTACCAGAAAGATCATCGCCGTCACCACACCACCCTCTATCAGGAGCACCATCCATTGCCACTGTCACTGCCGTCACCACCAGTCACCACCGGTACCATCACCATGACCTCCGCCTCTCCCCACCATCACCATCACCATCCCCGTCATCAACTCTTAGCACCATTATCACCACCACCACCACCACCACCTCTCCATCACCATCATAAACGCTTTTTTAAAAATTTTATTTATTTTATTTGAGAATTAGAGTTACAGACAGTGAGAGAGACAGAGAGAGAGGTCTTCCATCCTCTGGTTCACTCCCCAAATGGCCACAATGGCCGGAGCTGTGCCGATCCGAAGCCAGGAGCCAAGTGCTTTTTCCTGGTCTCCCACATGGGTGCAGGGGTCCAAGGACTTGGGCCATCTTCTACTGCTTTCCCAGGCCACAGCAGAGAGCTGGACTAGAAGCGGAGCAGCTGGGACTAGAACTGGTGCCCATATGGGATGCTGGCGCCACAGGCAGGCAGAGGATTAACTCACTGTGCCATGGCGCTGGCCCTTCACCATCATAAACTCTTATCACCATTATCACCATCATCCCCTTCATCAACTCCTAGCACCCGTTACCACCACCACCACCACCTCTCCATCACCATCACAAACTCTGATCACCATCATCATCACCATTACCCCTCTCATCAACTCCTAGCACCGTTGTCATCACCACCATCATCACTTTCATAAACTCCCAGCAGTGTTATCACCACCACGTCTCCCATCATCACCATCACCATCATAGACTCCCATCACCATCATCCCCTCACCAACTAACTCCTAGCACCATTATCACCACCACCACCTCTGCCCATCATCATCACCTTCACCACCATCACCTGGTGCCAACACCATCCTCACCCCTCACCATCTCCATCTCCCACCTCCCTAACTTCTGCCGAGTCAGGCCCCAGGCTGAGAACTGACCTCAGCTTTACCTCGTCCGACTGTCACAGCCCTCCTCCGACCCCCGCTAGGGAAGCATGGTGTATCTCCATGTTAGAGATGAGCTCCCTGGTGTGAGGGTGGGGTGGGCGCTCAGACAGAGGGACCCCAGGTCCTGCTGGCTCCCCTCCTACACACCTGCCTCCCACTCCTGTCCCTGGAGTCTAGGAAACACCTGCTCAAGTCTCAGGTCACCTTCAGTGCCCCCCTCGGCTTCTCCAGGAGGAGCTCACAGAGCAGAGCTTCTCGCACACCCAGACACGGACGCAGACCCGGACGGGCGCTGTTCCCGCACACCCAGACACGGACGCAGACCCGGAGGGGTGCTGTTCCCGCACACCCAGGCACGGACGCAGACCTGTAGGGGCGCTGTTCCCGCACACCCAGACACGACGCAGACCTGTAGGGGCGCTGTTCCCGCACACCCAGACAGGGACGCAGACCCGGAGGGGCGCTGTTCCCGCACACCCAGACACGACGCAGACCTGTAGGGGCGCTGTTCCCGCACACCCAGGCACGACGCAGACCCGGAGGGGCGCTGTTCCCGCACACCCAGACACGGACGCAGACCCGGAGGGGCGCTGTTCCCGCACACCCAGGCACGGACGCGTCTGCTCACTGCACTTCGCCAGCCTTTCTTTTCTCTCCTCTGCTCTTTGTGTGGGTTTCTTTTATGAAAAGTCGGTGGCGGCGGATGGAGTTCCTGTTTTAGACACTCCTTAAACACTCTTTGCTTGGCAAAACTAAGAGGGGTGGACCTCACAGTACCCCCACTTTATTAACATGATCTACCTTGTTAATCCTCGAAATTAGAAATTAATGACTGGGGTCTACTCTTAGAGCTCATAGCAGGTGCTGATGAGCTAATCACATCCACGGAGCTGGCTCATCAGGTACAGGGCTGACCTCAGTCCCTGACCGAAACCAGCGGCCCCATGCCAGCGTACCTGAGTTCCCTTAAAAGCAACCCCTACAGAAGGGACTGAGCCCCTGCAAACCCGTAGATCAGGACCTTCCATCTGGACGGACCTGCATCTTCCCCTCGGCAAGCAGGCAGGTTTGTATCCATCATCCTGCAGCCTGGCTGCACTGCAGAGCTGGAGGGACTTGGGGGCTCTCAGGTGGGAGTCAGCAGGCGACCACGCGGTTTCCATACACTGTGCACAGCTCCCACGCGCTCGGCACGCATGGTGCAGGACACGAGGGACAGGCGTGGTAACAGCCCCCGCGAAAATGTACTGCCAAGCTGAAAAAATACACAGGAGTAACCTTCAGGTAGAGGGCGCACGCGTGTGTGTGCATGTGTGTTTATGTACTGACTTATGTCTTTATTTATTTGTGAGGCAGACAGAAACAGACATACCAAGAGAACTCCCATCCACTGGTTCACGCCCCAAACGCCCACAACAGCCAGGCAGCAGCGAGGAGCCCAATGCAGGTCTCCCACAGAGTGGCAGGAGCCAGACGCTTGAGTCATCGCTGCTGCCTCCCAGGGTCTGCATCAGCAGGGAGCTGGAGCCAGGGCTGAGCTCAGGAGGTGGGGCCAGGGCTGAGCTCACTCGGGAGGCGGGGCCAGGGCTGAGCTCAGGAGGTGGGGCCAGGGCTGAGCTCACTCGGGAGGCGGGGCCAGGGCCGAGCTCACTCGGGAGGCGGGGCCAGGGCCGAGCTCACTCGGGAGGCGGGGCCAGGGCCGAGCTCACTCGGGAGGCGGGGCCAGGGCTGAGCTCACTCGGGAGGCGGGGCCAGGGCCGAGCTCACTCGGGAGGTGGGGCCAGGGCCGAGCTCACTCGGGAGGCGGGGCCAGGGCTGAGCTCACTCGGGAGGCGGGGCCAGGGCTGAGCTCACTCGGGAGGCGGGGCCAGGGCTGAGCTCACTCGGGAGGCGGGGCCAGGGCTGAGCTCACTCAGGAGGCGGGGCCAGGGCTGAACTCACTCGGGAGGCGGGGCCAGGGCTGAGCTCACTCGGGAGGTGGGGCCAGGGCTGAGCTCACTCAGGAGGTGGGGCCAGGGCTGAGCTCACTCGGGAGGTGGGGCCAGGGCTGAGGTCGGGAGGTGGAGCCAGGACTGAGCTCGGGAGGTGGGGCCAGGGCTGAGCTCGGGCACAGGGGTCTCACCTGCCAGGCCACACATTCACCCCGGCGTGTGTTTCTCATATGAGAAATGTAACTCAGAATGCTTTCTAAAATTATGGGATTTTAAAAGGTCTTCACCAAAGGTAGTGGGATGTACAGTAATCAGCCTTATGCACGGGGAGATGTTCTAAGACCCCCAGTGGAGGCCTGAAATTTTGGGTATTACCAAGCTCTGTATACACCTGATACACTCTAATTCATCAATGAGGCACAGTAAGAGAGCAACAGCAAATACTAAGACAGAACGATTACCATAAAATTCTGCAGTAAACCTGCCACCACCACCGCTCCTGCTTGAAGGTGGTGATTAAGGCACAGTAAGGGTCACTTGCACACAAGCACCGAGATCAAGGTGACCAGGGTGACAACCCAGAGAGGCCTCAGTGAGCAACAGCCACCCCTGTGAATGCAGGGGGTCGGTGTGAGAGTCACCACGCTGCTCAGAACAGCACACAATTTAAAATTCATAAATTGCTTATTTCTGGAATTTTCCACTTGCTATTTGCAGAGTACATCTGAACACAGGCAACTAAAACTAAGAAGTGAAACCTTGGGGAAGTGGGGGACCACTATACATATAGGTACACACACATGCACACACACACACACACAACCAGCCCGCTCCACTACTGGCCAAGTCAGAGCTTTGCTACAGTAACCCAGTAAGCTCACAGGGACACATAAATCAGTGAGTTTTCTTCTCTTCTAAATTAGTGGTAGAATTATTTGTTTCTGACAAACTCAAATTGAGGGAACTAAGTAAAAATGGGGAAAGACTGGCCAGCGTTTCCTTTTTCAAAAATACGCAACGGCCTTTTGATGGCCAGGACCCTGCGACACCTTCCTGTGTCTGCACAGACAGGCCCCTGGGCTCAAGGCCCCAGCACCTCCAGAGGACTGAACCCTGCAGGACCGCCGAGGCCTCTTTTCCTTGCCCAGGGACACTGGCTGCGGGGTGAGCAGAGGGCTCAACTGCAGTGGACAGGCACTGCCCCAATGGGGCCTGGTGCTGCGGCACAGCGGGTGACGCTGCCGCCTGCATCCCACAGGAGCACCGGTTCAATTCCTGGCTGCTCCACTTCCGATTCAGCTCCCTGCTAACGTGCCTGGGAAGGCAGCAGGAGATGGCCCGAGTGCTTGGGAACCTGCCACCCCCATGGGATGGAGTTCCGGACTCCTGGCTGCAGCCTGGCCCAACCCAGGATATGGCAGCCGTTTGGGGAGTGAACCAGCAGATGGAAGGTACAAAGCGATTGCTCTCTGCGTCTCCCTCCCCTGGCACCACACTCTGTAACTCTGTCTTCCAATAAACAAATAAACCTTTGAAAAAAGAAAGGAACTTGTGCCCCACAGCCGGACGAGATGATGTTAGCAGAGGACTGACTATGTGGCAGTGGGTGGCGGGCCCAGCCTGACCACTGCCACAGGGGTGGGCGTGGGTGGGCTCTGTACCAGGGGTGCACGCCGAGTGCCCCTCTGCCAGCCGGAGCTCCACGCCGTTAACTACGGATGACTAAATGACAATAGCTGCTACTAATCGCTTATTGAATAATGAAACTGACACAACTGATAAAAGGCTTCAATCTTGAGAAAAATGATGGATTGCGTCTCAGTTTACCGGCACTGCTATCTGTGTGACAAACGGTCCCAGAGCCCCAGCTCATCTCCACACACCTCTGAGCCTGCTGCAGCCGCGGCGGCCGCACACACAGCCGCATCAGCAGCAGCCGCTAATGACACCGTGCGCCATGGCGAGGGCCGAAGACCGGCACTCCATCAGCGCTCATCTCTGCATCAGTTTGCACAATGGATGCTTTTGGCGATGGGTGAGGGAGAGAAGAGATGCCGGTGACATCGAGAGCACGGTCCCGGGACACAGAGGTGCCGACAGTTCAAAGCCTGCAGGAGTTCTTCCTGGCTCTGCACAGCTCATCCATGGGCGCTGATACACCCGCGGCACCACAGTGACCTGTGATGGTTGCTTGTCCCCCACAGGGCAGGGCTGCCAGGCACCAGCAGGTGGAAGTGGCTTTTCCCTTATTTTATAAATTATGAATAGTTATACATATATTTATGTATGTTATACATCTAACATATTCTAATATGTGAAAATAATATAAAAATATTGTGTGTACATATAGTAACAGGAAAGCTGCCTTTCTCTTATGTTGACTATGGGAGGCTGGAGAGTCATGAAGGCAAACCACAGACTGATTCCCAAGAAAAATTCCAAATAACACATTTACTTCTATGGTATCGTGTGCCACCTCTCATTCTAGTTTTGGTTAAAAAAAAAAAAAGAAAAGAAATCAATAAACTTGTCAGGTGCCTTCCCTGGTCAGCTCAGTGGATCGTGGAAACCAAAGCAGCTTGGTGTTCTGGGCTCTCCGCCAGTGCCAGGTCCCTGTGTCCCACAGTAAGATGCAACAGTGCCTGGCACGTGGCAAACACACAGCCTGCCACCAAGCATTCGCTGTGGGACAACAGCGACAGTGAGCCACGCCGCAGCCTGCGGAGATGACCACGCGGCCCCTTATAACCAGGCAAAGCCGGGAGGTACGTGAGCGCGTGCACGGAGGTTCGGCGGGTGAAGAGGAGCCTAGGGACCACAGCATCTTCATCAGCCGGGAGACGGCACGAGGCTGCGCGCCCCTGGGTGGCCAGCTTTCAGGGACGCCGCGGAGCACGGGCGCGGGGCCTCGGGCTTCACACAGCAACGCACGGAGACCCCTTGGGTCACAAGGTACTGAACGAGAATGTGAAATCACACGCTTCCGGGTTTAGGACACACGTGGAAGGCGCGCTGTGCGACGGTGGGCGACACACACTCAAGTCCGGGGTGGGGTGGGGGGCAGCTGCAGGGACCACAACAGTCCCACGGGGCAGCTGTCAGGGCCGCTGGCATTTTGCAGGGCTGACAAGCACCCAGGCCTCAAGGGCCCCTCGGAAGGGCCTGGGATTTATTGTGGAGCCGTCTCTGTGCGCCGGCTTCTTCCCAAGGTGGAGGTGAGGGGCGGCCCAGCCCTGCGGATGCTGTTGGGCGCAACGACAGCAAGCACTGCGCCCAGGCCCGCTCCGGGACACGGCAGCTCTCCCAGGCACAGGGCAGTGCGCACAGGGCCAGAAGCAAAGTGGGGGTGAAGGAAAGACACCCTCGGGGTTACGGTCAGGGAGTCCCTGTTTTTGTCCTGTGAACGGAGGGCGCCTCAGAGCCTTGGACTTGGCACTGCTTATCCAGAACTCCCAGGGGGAGGCAGACTGTGCAACAGTCTCCAAACTTCACTTTCTGTGTGTACAAACGGAGTCCCGAGAGGCATCAGTGGCCTGCCCTGTGCCACGGAGGGCCCAGCTGCTGAGCACCGCCCGGTCCCGTGAATGCACCTTCCAGAAAGACTGGAGCTGCACTTCCAACCCCAGCAGCTCTTAACACCCGGGGGCTGCCAGGCGACACCACTGCTGCCATCACAGCCCGGTCCACGCAGATGCCTGTCAGTCTGGACTGGCCATGTCCATGTGCCAGGTGCCCATACCACGTGAGCAGAGCCTCACAGGCACCTGAGAGATGCTACAGAAGTCTGGACATCTCTGGGGCTGGCTGCGTCTCTGTCGTGGACAGAGTCTGGCATTTTATAAAGTTTCAGTCTGGGGAGAGGCCGGCATTGTGGCACAGTGGGTAAAGCGTGCCTGTGACCCCGGGAACTGCATGTGGACACCGGCTTGCGTCCTGGCTGCTTCACTTCCAGCCCAGCTCCCTGCTGGGAGGGCAGCGGAGGACGGCCCCGGTGCCTGGGCCCCTGCACCCACCTGGGAGACTCGGAGGGAGCTCCTGGCTTCAGACCACCCAGCTCCGGCTGTTGCAGCCACTTGGGGAGTGAACCAGCAGATGGAAGACCTCTCTCTGTGTCTCCTCCCTCCCCCTCGCCCCACCCTTTCAAACAAATATTTTTAAAAAGTTTCAATCTGTGGAAAACCTTTACTTTTTTCCCTCCTGACTCAATTCAAGAAGACATCACTGGAGACAATCAGAGGCAAAAGAACATTTTCCCAAAGTCGGAGCAATGAGGAGAAATAAAACCCTTATAAGAAATATTTCAGCAAAAGAGAAATTTCTTCTTCTTCATTAGAATAAGGAATTGCAGAATGAAATGCCTTAATTACCCATGAAGAAGATAACCGTATGTGATTGCCTTCATTTTCAGAGCACTGGACAGGAGAGAATTCAGCTCCGAACGCTCACATGGTTTTCCAATTGTCAGAAAACTCCAACGCCCCCACCAACCCAGAAAATTCTCCTACGCAGAAAAACCAAAGCCATGTGTGTCTCCCCTTCTGTATTTTAAACCACTAAAGAGATACGTGCCAAAGCAGCATCCCCCCCCCCCCTTTTCCAAAGGAAAGATTGATTCTTTTGTTTAAAGGCAGAATTACAGAACGGGAGAGACAGAGGCCGAGAAAGACCTTCTTCTGCTGGTTCACTCCCTAAATGCCTGCACTACCCAGGGCTGGGCCAGGCTGACGCCAGGAGCCAGGAACTTCATCTGGGTCTTCCACACGCGTGGCAGGGGCCCAAGGACTTGGGCCATCTTCCACTGCTTTCCCAGGCCATCAGCAGGGAGCTGGATTGGAAGTGGAGCAGATGGGGTTCAAACGGGCCTCCGTATGGGATGTCGGCACTGCAGGCGGCAGCTTTACCCGTTACGCCACAGCGCCAGCCCTGGTTCCCCATGCTCTTCCACAGCCCTGCCAGCTGTTATCACAGCTGTTTCTGCTCCCC